GCCGAGCCGAGCCGAGCCGAGCCGTGCCGAGCCGAGCCGAGCCGAGTTTTAGTAGTTGCCAAAAATTTGCCTTTCTTCACTGACTGTTTAAACTGTTTTGTCCTTATAGAGATACCGTCTACCCTACTTGTTTTTTAGTATAAAGATCTTCCTTGTTGTACCATCCCAAAATGGTTATTGTTTTTATTGCTGCGTAATCCACCTTATAGTAGTAGCACTAACCGCTCGACTTCAGGAAACATTTACTCCAAGCTGATTTATGAGTTATGGTTTGTAGCCTTATGTTGCGCATGTTTTAAGGCAGGAACGAATTACTTGACAAGTGCGGCTGTCTGCAAAAATGGTTGGCTTAATATGCAGTCAGAGATACCTTTTATCATCCTTGTGCTTTGCCGGATCCACTGCTGGTGATTTGGACTTTGTCGGGCTACGTTCCTGCCGTTTGATGGAGTACGATGGTGATTTCGGGCCTGGTATACTAGTTGCCAGGTGACTGAAATATGATGTATTAGCAGTTAAAAATTTGTGCGGGTTGGTGAATCAGTAGGATCAGCAATCTTTTTTTTTTTACTAACAGAAAGAGATGAGAATCGTTTAAATGGGATGAAACAGTTAGCGATGCAGCTGAAATTAGCTGATGATGACGGCAACATTTTCAGGCGGTTTACATCATTTCTGACAAAAACTGCACTATGACTAGGTAAGCAGCTTTTCATGTGTGTATGTGTGTTGGAGAGTGAGATGCTTGGATTGTCACTTCGTCACATTTTTAAGCAATCCGACTCTCATTTTGCTGAGGGGCATGCAGCATATTATTACTATCAAGTGAAAAAGTAGGACCCAATGCGCTGTAGGTCCATTTTCAAAACAATTTTGCAGTTTCAGACGTCCCACAGGCTTTTTTGTCTTACTCGGCAGTTCGAAACCCATAGTTTTAATTCTAGTATCTTTAATGCGCTGAATCAATTAAAAGGCCATCTAGACGAACTCTTATGTGCGTTCACACATTTCACAAATGAGCACTGACCACGGAAACAGCACAGAACTGCAATGGCTTCCTGGTTTGCATCGCTGCTTAATTTTGTATATTTATGAACAAAACAGAAAACTCAGGTTTTCAAGCATTTGAAGAGCAATATCCGACAAAATTTTTTTGTTTGACAAACCTAATTTTCTCCCTATCGCTGCATTCTTTTTCCTTCTTCCTCTTTCTGCTTGTTGGCTCATACTCTTCCCCGCTAATTTTGGTGCAGCCATCCTTTGTTTTTTTCGAATCCTGAGCTTGTTCTGGAGTCGAGTCTGGCTCAGTAAGCAAAATTTGTAAATTGCCTGCAGCACTTTGGTTCTTCGAAATCTCGCCTGCGGTAAAGCTGTGCTGAAAATGCAACTGTCATTCTTAAACTGCTCGGACAACTTTGGAATTAGTCAAATTTTTTAAACCTTTTAAATTCGTTTTCGTACTTGCCAACAATCTTATTTATAAAGAGTATGCCGTAAAAGTCAAAACATGTCCAGTTAGGCTATAAACAAAGATAGACACTAATCGAAGTCTGCTGCTATGAAATTCAGCTTCAGCGCACTTTTTTAGTCGTAATTACGCCTACAAAGTAAACTAGGCAGCAAGCCGTTGGCTTGCTTTCGTTTGAAGGTGAAATTTGCCACGATGTGGTGAATTAGTTACAGTGCTCGGACATGCGTATTCTCTAGTTGGTGAAGTAAGCACAGAATTTTGCTTTTTATTAATAAATGATATAAATGATATCTATTAATTCTTTTTTAATTACTGGAATTTGGTTTTCACGCGTTTTTGCAACAGCAGTGCACTCCATTTGAGCAGCATGGTTATGTGCTTTTGCAGTAAACTATTGCAATTGCCCAGTTGGTATATGGTTTCAGTACTTGTAAGGCTTCACTGAGACTGCTTCTAATCTAGCTTCTAAACTATCTCTTTTGAGTTAATTCACCATGTGTTAAAACCAGTCAAAACCACTTAAATTTGAATTGACTTAGTTGGTTTGGGTTTTCAGCTCACTGATTTAAATTAGCTGCAAAAATTAAAAAGCGAACAAACCGATCGAATTTTCTTTCCCTCTGGATCGGATTCCTGGACGTTTAGCAGTGCTTCTTGGAGCCGGGCAATTAGTTCATCTTTTTCCTGCAATAACTGTTTTTCAAAAAAAACCATAATTCCTAGAACAGTTGTTTTTCAAGAAAAAAGAATTATAATTCTCTGAGATAAAAATGAGGATGGGAGGAAAATCATGGTTTCAAAAAAAAAAAAAAAAAAAAAAATTGGAGCATTAAGTGTCAGTTCATCTGGGATACGTAATTTGTTGATTTTAAAAGTGTGTCTTCTTAACTGAGGGCCTCTTCTGTACGTCATCCCCAAGATTTTTAAAAGAAATATGCAAAATTCTCAACAACAAGACATAGAAATCGGCTGAGGTGCGTAAGTGGCACAAAATCCATGCAGTGAGAAGACAAAATACTTGCAAGTGGAGCTTAGCCAAAATGACAACAAGACAGACCTAAAACGTTTTGGAAATAATAAATGTATCAGTCCTAGCCACACTTGCAAAAGCAGGCCGGCCTTTCTGCAGTAAAAATTTTTATGTGATGGGGTTGTTTTATGTGCGTGGATCGCTGTGTGGCGTAGTGCTCTGAGCGTACGCACACTGTAGAGAAGCAAAATCAAGTTTATGACTTACTGATGAAGAATCG